AGGCTTTTGCCAGCCGGTACTTCTATTAGTACGGCCAAGAGAGAGATTGCGCAATAGAGATTTGAGTAGGCTCTGAGCTGTGTGCCGATACAGAGGCCTGAGAAAGAGAATTGAGAACTCTGAGCTGTGTGCCGATACAGAGGCCTGAGAAAGAGAATTGAGAACCCTGAGCTGTGTGCCGAGACAGGGATATAGAGCTATATCTTAGTGGACTTTAATATTTACTTTATCTTTATATTGATTGGACACAACCCGAGCTGTAATTGTATTTACACGCTCGCACTACCTTGAACACTCTACAGTCATTCTCACATGTTCCTTGTGTATGCTAAAGTTTGGTCCATTTTATTAGACCGCCCCTGATCCTTGTAGAAAATATAAGCTACAAGAAATTTGAAAAGAAATGTGAAAGAGCAAATGCATCAAAATTCTGGGAATATGAAAATGGCACTGTCACTATAATTGAGTTGCCAAGGAGAGATCATGAGATTGCACATGGTGAATTCTCTAAACAATTTTTATCTGCTTTTCATAATGTGCCATTTCAAGACCAAGTTAATAATGTTGGATCAACAAATATGTACTTTTCAGTATTTAGTTTGCATGCATATATTATTGTATCAAACCTAACTCTGTTGTATTCAGCTTGCTATACTCCAGGACATGGTGGACACAGGGGAACTTATAAACAGTCAGATTCTTCATTTGTACCAAACTTTCTGCCTAAACCAGCTCAATATCCAAGTGATTCTGAGGTATTGTTCCTTGAATTATATTATTAAGAATACAAAGATTGATCTGAATTTGTAATGGTTTATAGGGTAATCCTTGGCCAACTGTCATCGTTGAAGTGGCTAATACCCAAACTTTTGCAAGTATAATCCAAAAGACCACTCAATTCTGGTTGGCTCCAAATCGAGTAGAAGATGTTATTATATTAAAATTATGGCATTGGGATTCAAGTAGGGATCAAAATGGAACCCCTTTACACCGTTTAACAGTTCAGTATTGTTTTGTGGTGTCATTTCATTTGTTTCATTGCCTAATAATTGTCTTGTATTTTGGTAGTGCTATAAATTCTGTCATCAAACAAGCCCTCAAGTGCATGGGAATTACCAACCAGCTCAAGTGGTATGAATTAGTGCATTTATGGTAGTTGATTTCTATTTGTTTCATTCACAACATCACTTTATGTATTCATTTTTTCAGATTGAATTTGGAACAATTGATAGAAGTCAGCAACCATATGGAGGATGCTCTGCTCCAGGAATGCGCACTTTGAGTATTTCACCTCATTGCATTTACAAGGGCTGTGCTTGTCAAAATCCACCACTCTCACCATACCCAATTGCAAATAATGTAATCATTGATTTATTTTATATTCAGCAGAAAATATTTAGAGTTATGTAAGACTTTTTAATTAGTAATATAATTTTTACAATAATAGAAAATATATAAGATGGTTGATTAAGATGAATGAATTTTCAAAATAAAATTAATATATCAGATATTAATATGTGTGTATACTGAGGGATTTTTGTATTGGGTAAAATGAGCTCGGATGCAAAAAATACATGATCAATTCTAGTTTATCTGAGATATATCTATATTAGACCTCTGCAATATATATAAATGATTGGGAAAAAAATAAGAGATCAAACATAGCAATCACAAAATTATGCATTTACTCTTTGGCTTCAAGCATATATGTGAGAAGGTATCAGTATTACATTGGTTAGCATCTTTCTTACTTTGTATGTACTGAAAAAATTGAATTGATTGAATAGTATACCAAAAAAATTATTTGAATAGATACAGGTAAAAAATAACAACCCAAAGTGTAGTAAACAAAAAATTTGTTTTAATGTATTGATTGTCATTTTCTTCAAAAGATAGACCAATGATCTAGTTAAGTAGTGTACCTCTGGTGGGAGTTATACTGCTACATTCAACTAATTGTTTATCTCAGATAAGGGGATTTTTATCATCCCTTACAATAAGTGCAGGAAAAATTTCAAATCTGAAAATTATTACATAAAAGTATGATCCAAAGTAATGCACAAAAGTGTGATTCAATTTTTTGATATACTAATACATAAAAGTGATACATAAAAGTATAATCTGATTTTTGATATAATGTATCCAATTTTTATAGTGATACACCAAAGTGCAAACAAATTTTTTGATCCAAAGTAATATGCAAAAGTATGATCCAACAAATTTTTTGATAGTAAAATGACAAAGCATAGGTTGATTTTTTGACAAGAAAAAACTCAAAAGCATCAACTATATGAGAAAGTGTTTCAAGACCACAAAACATAGCATACTTTTGATGATATGCAAAGATAGAATAATATAAAAAGTAAGAAAAATTGTGCTTTTGTGTATCACCAAGTAGGGATAGCAGAGCTAGTGTCTCTGACACATAACAACTTGGCACTATGTGCCTCACCCTCAATCAGTAATCAATGCATCATGCAAAGCCAGGTCATGAATACTATTTTGGCACTTTGTGCCTCATCCTCGAATTCAAATGCAGCATGCAAGGCCAAAATACAGATTGCCCCTTGCAATCGAAAAAGTTGGCAGTTCACCTAGGAAATGTGGTATTATTTATAGTAGTATAGGAGATTCGTATTTTTTACAAATTGGTTTTTTTGGTCCAAAGTGGGGGGATAAAGGTTCTATTTATAAGTTTTTGTAGCAATTTATTAGACTACTTGATCAATGTACAATTTGGTCACGAAATAGTCTAATTTATTAATAATTACATTATTGCAGATTTGCAAACCAGGATGCTTTGCATCCAGTTCAGGCATAGCCCTCACAATCAGCACGTTGTGCCTCAGCCTTGGTGGAAAAAACATTCACAAACCAATTGAAAGCCAGCAACCACAACAATGTACATGACTTTGAAAGAAAGAAAAAGAGCCACCAGAGCATACAACACAACCTAGCAAAGTCATAGTCATAGTTATACCTACCTAGCAGATACCTAATCTAGTCATAGTAGATACATAGTCTAATCATAGTAGATACATAACCTAGTTGTAGTATATAGATACTGTATTATATTAATTTTCTGCCACTATGCTCTTACAAGTAAAACCCGAAATATTAATATAAAATTTTTGTTGATTGACATAATCTTTTCTTATGGCGCGACTTATTGAGAGTAAAAAATGCATGTGACTATCAGATGACTTATTAGATACAATTTGATTTGATGCGCATTCTCATAATAAAATTTTTTTAAACTGAAAAAACCCTCCTCAAATTATGGAGAATAAAAAGATTTTATTATCTCAATATTAAAAGTAAGTTTTCTCTTTTCATCAATATTGTTGTTTATGAATAAAAAATGATGAAAAGTAATTAGGTATATATGAATTGTTGTTGTTATCATTATTATAATAATGATTAATTTAAATTCTTCACTTTGATCTGATCTTTTTAAAACTTTATTATATTATTATTATTATTATCAAAGTTGAATTAATCAATTAACTAATTGAATTCTCTACAAACTCCACATTCAGATGTTAGAAAATTGATGTGCCTGTAAAATATTAAAATATATTTTTTTGAATAAAAAACTTTATTTCAAAATTTATTTGCTCCCAACTACGTACATACCAATGATGGAAAAAATTAATCCCAATAATACAAATGATTATAAATAATATGAATAATATAAATATCATTATTATAATTTCTTACAATATCCAAAAAACAACAAATTTAAATTAATTAAATATCAAAAGATGAATATATTATTGCCGAAAATGCTTGTAATTCTTTACAATCCCTAATAATCTAATTAAATAAAATAAAATTAAAATAAATTATCAATCATCACCAATCAATCAATAAATCAATGAAATAAAATAACAAACAAACCTCTAGGAATTCGTTCGTTCTATCATCAAGTATGTAATGTGCTTCTCTTGCAATATCAGGTAATAATTTTACAAGAGACACACGTTTCTCAATTATTTCACCATCAAGGCTTCCACCACCCTGAACTATAAAATCTGTATACAAATGATTTTGCATCAAATTAAAGGCTGTAGTCAAACAAGTTGTTTGAACTATATTAAAATCTTGACTATTTCATATATAATTTTCAAAAAAAAAAAAATCCATTAATTAATTGTATTTAATAATAATTCTAATTTATTGACAAAATATTATTATTATTAATATACCTATCCAAAAAATCTTTGGTTTCATCTAACAATTTTCTAAGTTCAGGTTCAATTTTAACTTCAAATGCATTATCTCCACCCTTATCAAGTACTTTAAATTCATCTTCTAAATTTTGAGGCATCATAATATCAGTATACCTAAAATTTAAAAAAATCAAAAGTTATTATTATTATTTATTTATTTAATTTTTTTAAAAAATTTATACCATGCACTTTGATTATCGCTTTCATTTCTTTCCACATGAGATCTAATTTCAGTAACAATCCATACAAAATCTTTGTATGAAAGTTCATCTTTCAATGATATACTATATATATATATAATAATTATTGTTATTTTAATAATTTCAATAAATTATTAAAATTGATTAATCAATTCATACATACTTAGACAATACTGATTCAACAGAAGATTTAACACGTTCAACAATTTCCCTGTATCCAATATTTAGAAACCACCAACTAAAAGTCAAATACTTTTTTATTATTATGGGACTCAATATAGATTCAGAAGAAAATCTGTTCAATTGTTCCGTGTCACGTTCTGCTAGAGATACAACAGAACATATATAATTATATCTTCCCAATAGATTTAAATTTATATGAATAATGAGCATAAATAGTGTTTCTAGATAAATAGCAGCTATAGTACGTATAAAACCTGTTGACGTTGTCATTATTTATAATAAAATTAATGTCATTCTTATTAAATAATATAAACAATATATGAGCAATACATATAAATGAGAAAACGTACTTTTATTTTTTACTTCAGTCCATAGTTCAATTTTTGTTTTTCTATCAAAAATTAATTGAGATGATGATGGCTGAACGTTAATAACATTTGTTGTGACTGGCTCTTCACTACTAGAAAAATTTGGATTACTACTACTATCATGATATTCATGATCACCAAAGCCACTATTACCATCATTAGAATCACTATGTTCTTCTTCTGTGGGAGAATTACTGTTATTAGTTTCATCAGTCGAAGATGATGATAATGATAAAGAAGTTGATGAGGAGGATGGTAGTGACAATATTGATGATGTTGAAATCGAACTTTCTAAATTATTTTCATGACCATTCATATTTGGTGCGGATGAAAATCTATTTGAATCTTCTTCGCCTCCATTCTCAGAATCACTTGAAGAATTGCTGTTATTAGCATCGCCATTACTATTATTATCATTGTCACTATTGCCATTACTACCGTTACTACTACTACTATGATCATCATCATGAACACTTGGATTATTAATCAAAACCATCGAAGATTCAGAGGAACTCCCATCATTCCTATCAATTAACACAATAGAAGAACCAGGTGACATCGTTGGTGTAGATATAGCTGTTGAACCACTTGATGATGTAGAGCTACTATTCTTTGCTCTTTGTAAATTTGATATAATTGATTCTACATCAAATTCAGTTAACAAACTCTCATTTATACTTGGTAAATGTGCAAATACCGTATCAATACAATCAATTTGTCTTTGTTGAAAACGACGTCTCATACTATAACGAAACCGTTTTAGGAAAAAATTTTATTTTATTTTGTTTTTATTTATGTAATAATTAAAAAGAAAAGAAATCATAATCACTTTTCTCTTGCGGTTCGCTCTATGGTGGTTCTTTCTTTAATTTCATCGAATTTCCATTTTATCAATTTACCAAGAAAATAAACACCGCCAGTTAATCCAGTTGCTGTTGCTATGAACTTTCTACGTTTATTCAAGTATTGATAAATTTTTATAAACATTGTTCTATTATTTTTGATATTCAAATTTTTTTTATTGATTTTATTTATTGATTGATGTACAAATAATCAAGTGATTTCTGATCTGTGATGCTTTTAAACATTAACCACCATTAACACCATGATATCTCTTCAAATTAATTGAATGTAAATATTATGAAAATAAATAAGTAAATGCCAAGAAGTATTCAATTATCTCGGTTGAGAATAGGCATCATTTAAATAGAAGTAGAAGTAGCACGTTCCAATGGGTGATTACCACTGTAATAATGAACCATTCAAAATTACCGATCATTGATTGAAGTTTGAAACCAACAATATCAAAAAGATCTGGATCATAAAAAATCAATTCATATGATATTATGCTAAATGCTTACGAAAGAGGAAAATCTCTGGGAGCTTTTTTGAAGCTGCAGAAAATTACTAAAGAGATGCAGATTGGG